GTATTAATAAGTATATTATCTCTATGTATGACCTAAAAGATGTGCAACACTTGAAAGAACATGTGTAACGTTATTTCAGGTATATAGATCGTGTAGATAGGTATTTATTGCAAATAATATACACTATCAAGGATGGTATTACATAAAGGTCCACATGGCCTGATGTTTGTCGATATATGTTTGTATTTGGAAAATGCGGTGGTGCGGTAGCTAGGAGGTCATGGGTTCGCCGAGGAAGTTCCTCGGGATTTTCCGGCGTGGTTCCTCCTTTTCAGTGCGGTGTAGGATGAAGGCCTGACAAGGAAAGTTTTGTTTGGACGGGGCCTAAAACTAGTTGACGCTGGCGTAAAACAGTCCTTGTCAAGGTTTCTTTAACGTGCACGCCAATGTGTAAAAGGGACCTCAGTTTATCGTTCCATCTGATCGACTATAGACACTGTCCTTGCCGGGCCCGCCTTCCTGCACCACTGGCAGGGAGAAATCGCGCCGAGAAGCGAACCCAATATATTTTATTAACAACGGATGAGATGTCTTGTATTTTTTCTTTATTTAATATTAAGTAAAGTTTTGATGTCTGAGAGTTAATATTTTAATGTATAGTGAACAATGGGGCGCTGTCTGCGTCCTACTGTTCTGCTCCGACTGGGCTAATGAAGACGGACAAACGCAATGCAGTGGTGTTCTACGAGGGACATTTTGCCCAGACAGTGGAGCTACGGTCTACTCATATCGAATTCCAGCTGTCAAGTGTTTATGACGTGCATACAAATGTGTACCAGGGACCTCGACTGTTCGTCACATCCGAAGGACTATACGTTTCCCTAGCCAGGCCCTCTGTCCTACACCATGTCGGGAGAGATAAAGAAACATGAAATAGAAAAAATGCAGCGTAGAATAATTAGAACCAAGGAAGAAGATTACAATTCATACTAACGTTTAAATACATACCTGTTTTAAATCGAAATTCTCTTTCGTTTGAACAGTATTAACTTGACAGTTGACAGTCTTATTTTCACTTACAACTATCTGTATTAATACCAGAAATACTACATTTCTTAATAAACACTTTGCTTCCATCTTAAACATCCCTAAGTTTACTCGATACGTAGATTTGTACTGTTCGTGGGATGGATCTTCTTTAGAACACTGATGTGTACCGTTTCATATGCGTTGTTTTATTCAGCGGTATGTGTTAGATTTAAAGTGACGACCTGTCTCCACTGGTCCGTTTCTCGTTAGATAACTGTCTACGGAGATAGATCTTTCATAACAAACATAGTACATGTCTTGATTTATCCAGCGGAGCTGAACCACGGTGGCTCAGTAAGGTACTAGGTCACTAACCAGGAGGCGTTGTGTTCACTCCAGATTTTAGAGCGTGGTTCCCGCTTGTCCGTGGTGCAGGACGGAGAGCCTGAGAAGGACAGCGAATGGGAGCAACCTACTCTTATATCAAATTCCAATTGACAAGTGTTGTTTTACGTGCATGCTAACGTGTACAGGGGACCTCAGTTTTGCGTCCCATCCGAAGGACTATATACTTTCCGTTATCAGACTATGCCTTGACAACAATTTAGACACCCACTATACGATGGCTTCTTTGCACCGAAAAAAACATTGCACAAAACAGTCGGTTTATTATGATTTTGTTAAGAAACGTGCGTAAGTACACCCCTTAACTATCTCTGTTTATTGATCCATCTTTGTCGAAACAAATTGTATTTCCAAAATCATGGAATTATTTCATCATACGTCGTATTTGTGTGGTGGAAACAGCCTTGTCAGTAAGTACAATGATTCTAGATAATAAGACAGGACCCCAGGTAGCGGCATGGTATAAAATCCTTGTTTCTTGCCTATTTACATCATAGCTTGATAATGACTAGAGAAGCCTAGTCGAAACGTCGCTCAGTAAAAAGCAGTAATTGTATTCTATAGAATTGTGACCTGTATGATTAGACGGGTTTCACATCAGGTGGCAGACCACCATTAAATTTCACCACCTCGGTACCCACAAATTGTAGTTTGTCTATTTATAGCAACTCTCTCTCTGTCTCTTTTCTCACCTTTTGCATGTTCATTTTTGTTCTAGAATTGACGAAGAGGGTTCGAATTAACATTTTCTGCCAGGTTTTGGTAAATATTCATTATTACAGATTATATTATCAAAACTGGCCGAAAACGTAAGAACGAGTTGAATAGTGACGATTCTTAGCGAGAAAACAGTTCGCTATTTGTATCATATTACGGTCGCCAAAATGCTCTAAAAGTGATGACGAGTATAATTGTAAGCATCTCTTACAAATATAATTGATATTTATATCATTCTATCAGAGATTCAGATTCCGATAACTTTACGGTACCTGAAAATAACAATAGGCCCATTGTACACGCAACACATAAATTTATAGAAAATTGACATTCCTTGGATGAGAATTGACGTGTAAAACTCACTGAAAATGATGCTTTTTATCATATATCGTGATGTTTTCAGCCTATGTACAAATTCTATGTCTGGCAGTCTTATCGGAAATTAATTTTTGAACCCCGTATTGAACTCAGTAACTCTGACAACTTTAATTTTCAAGGGATATCCAAAAGAACAAAAATCGCCATATTGAATTCTGTTTTTATAGTTTTAAATTTACCTCATCTGGGCTATTCATAATTAGTTTTGTGGATAAAAATTGAACCCTGCACCCTTAAAACCCTTAGCCTATAGGCTATAAGACATATTGTACATGTCATATCTAACGGAAGTAAAAAAAAAAAAATAATGACGATTAATTAAAATTCCGACGTTTGGGATTTCATTTCTGCCATCATGGATTCTTGAATTTTATTTTTGAGATCAGAAATGAACCCAGCGACACCGAAAACCATATAAATGACATATCCAATAGGAATTCTTTTTTTCTTTAAATTCAGAGACATCGAAAATACATTTTTTGAGGGTTTTTTTTTGATCCAATTCGTTATTTCAGCACATTTCGCCTCTTATCGCCATTTGTGTTTGAAGAATTTAAAAAAAAAGATTTATTCTCCCTACACTAAAACATACTGAACCTTGTGGAAGACTGCCATATTGAATTATGTTAATTACGTCATTCCGCCATGGCCGAATTTGAGTATGGTGTTGTCTGATATATGGATCATTGTATAATACTTTGGGGTCTATTTACTGTAGAGGTTACCTAAGTTCTGTAGAGGTGTTCTGGTTAATGTTTTGTCGTCGTTAGCTAGTACCACTGACAACAAGAAATAGGCTAACAAGAATGTGTCTGGTGGTCTAAAGTCGGGCAATGACATCATAGTCTGATAATACAAATATGGTAATCCCATGTGTTAGAATCGTGGTGCCCATATAAGTACACTGTGTTGAAATCGAGGGTAGCATCTTTGCACCTGACCAATCCGGTAAAGGAAGCACCTGGTCAATTTCCCGGGGCTCAATACATGACTCATGCACGCAACCTCTTTATAATAACGTGCGCGGTTGAATTTCCTTTAGATATCATTGAGAGCCTTCCCAGGGGAAGGTCGATTATACAAACAGCCTCCTAGGCTGAGAGGCTGGGAAACAAACATCGTTCGGATTAGAGCACCCTTTAAGTCGTAGGAGAACCATAGGATGTTAGGAGGTACGTCAGTAAACCTGTCCTACGAAGTGGTGGGGTAAAAAGAATGATGGTAATCGTAATCTAGTAAACACAAGCTCGGGAAAGAGAACTCATATTTAGCTTATATTTAATGTCATAGCAGTGTGCGTTATTTCCTGTATTATGGATGTTATAAAGATATAAAAACATAGTTAACATAAACAGTGTTTCAGACTTAATAGATCATTGGAAATAGTTATCACGGGCCGTATCACAAAAGGGAAGTAATTCATCATTGATCTATTTAACGACACCGTAGTGTCACAATTGAACCAAACTTTATTGGTTTCTTTTGAAATTCGTTTTGGGGTAAAACGCTATCCGTCCCATCCTACACAATCATACGCGACGTCATAGGTTGCACGCGATGGTGCAGCGTCAGCTAAGTCACGTGACACAAACTGACAAACATGACTTCTTTTATACATTTTTATTGCGTGGGGTATTTCCTCTCGAATACAATGTTTTGAGAAGGATTTGAAGAAAAATTTAGTTTGATTATGCTTTTAGTCCAAATATATCATCAGATCGCCCTGTTTGTAAAACCAGGAGTGGGTTTAACTTTCCATAATAATATAAGTACTGACCTTGGATGGTGGAGGCCCAGTTCGTGATGAAAGAATAATTATATGGTAAAAAATATATAAAATAAACGAAAGCGCCTATGTGTATTAATCTGTTTAGAGAATGGCAATATACGGTGGAAATCTTGAAATGTTTTGTTTTGTTTTCATACTAACTTGATAGATTACACGGAGTTCTTTATTTTTATCATACTCCTCGCAGTGTTATGTTTGATTAGACCTAATCCCACTCAAACACTGCTGTAACGAAAGCAAATTTCTGTTCCAAATTATGACTGGTCAATAGTCCGATTACCAACCAATACCTAACTGCGTAACAATATCATTCGAGTTTAAACAGAGTTCCAGATATGTTTACATAACGTTACTTCAAGACTCAAGAAATTTAATACGCCCGATTAACCAGAGCATAGCAGAATATTGCAGAAAAACTAATTGTGTGACAAACGAGGCTATCAAAACGACTCAATGTAAACAATACTGCTTGGAGATGAATGATGCCTTCGCCGTTTTTAATACCTTAAATCACTGTCCAAAGTTTTAGAGAAGATCCCAGATTAAATGAAGGGCTGTCATGTTGCTGTACTTAGGAGAGATTTAATTGAACGGGAAGAATAGACACACTCCCTCAAAATCTCAAGTATCAGAAGTCAATCCAGCAATTGCCAGAGAGGGATTTCTCGGGTCATTGCTTCAGGAATGTGTATTAATATGTTTTTATTAGGCACATATTCATATAAACAAAAGTAACTAGACATTGAAATTTGAAATACAACGTTTAAATTACAGCAATATTTCTTAATCAAATTACAGCAATATTTCGTAAATTATAGCAATATTTCTTAATCAAATTACAGCAATATTTCTTATTCAAATTACAGCAATTTTTCTTAAAATCACAGATTTCTTGATTTCCGACAATTCTAACAGCGTGAAAATACAAACTACGAAACGATCCCATGAAATAGCGAAGTGGAAAAATATAGTGATAATAACACAGTTTGAAATCCATATAATAATTCTAACAATTTTGTGAAATACCAAACAACTTTTTACTTAATTATACTGATAACAGATCTGCCAGATATTTTATCCGGCATATAGGCAAGTAACTTCAAAATGATCCAAATGTTTTATGTTGTAAAGATCATCGGATGCAATAATTACATTACATGAACAACTTTAGAAGCATTTATATCTTCTAACTGGTCGGAGTTAAATATTATAACTAGTTCTCTCTCACCAATCTTTCTAGGGGTCAACTCGACGCTCGTTACAAGCGTTTGCTTAGGTTTGACATTTCTGAAAAAAAGAACCATTAAATGAATTGACACCTGATTATCCGACTAATAGAGAGAGAAATGGGGTTTAAAGTCCACTCGACACAAACTAGGTCATTTCGGGACTAACATATGGTTTAATTTTATATCCATAATTTGCTTGCGCGTAGGGGTCTTTAGCAGTGGGAGGAAACCGGAGGACCCGGAGAAAACCCTCGAGGTTGGACAGGCGATCCTATTCCTTGTCACGTACAACCGGGGATTCGAAACCACGCCAGTTGACTCAATGACAGGCTTTATTATACAGCGCGCATGTGCTAACCATTCAGCCAGCCAACCCCCCGGGACTAATAATAAGAAATACAAAACAAACAAGAACATGAACATCCTGAATATCACAAAATCTAAGTCAAAATTATTTCCATGAAAAAAAAACCAATATTAATTCTCGAAAATGTTTTCTAATTATAAAAACCATCACTATTATTTTAAGATGATGCGTGTAAAAAATCTTATAAACAAGGTTTACGAGATATGCTCCGGAACCAATACCGAGAATCGAAACGACAAGACAGAGTCCATTTTAATCTCCATTGGGATAAAAAAAAAGTAACATGGAACCAACTATATAACCGCAGTGACCTTTATTATTGTTTTCTAGGTAGATTCGACTTCTGAAATCCAAGTATTACTCAGCTATTCGTGGAGGTTATGCTTAATCTTTCTTGAACACGGAATTCATCTTCTGATGTCTTTGAGAAGTTTACATAGTAATAATGATTTTCAATAGTGAACGAATACATCGAAACGTACCTTTGTGGGTGTTTTTGCCTCTTTTGTAAACCAGGACCCTCAACTTCTAAATAACAATTAGTTAAACTTTGGTCTAGAGGATTAGTAAACGATACTTCTACGTCGAATGATTTCTTCTGATATATAATGGATGGAACCTAGAGTGAAAAAGATAGCTACAAACACTGGTGTGTTGCTTTATAAATAGACTATTGCTAATCTGGGGAACCCCGTTGATTTATGTCAAAATAAAGTCTAAACTTGAACGATCTGATGTGCCATCTCGTTTAGTGGTTTAACCAGCTCGATACACAAATAAATCTTGTTTCTAAATATTAAACATTAGTTTGCTGACATTTCTATCGAGGACAGGCGTCCATAATAGAGAGGTTCAGATGCACTCCGGGATCGAGAACGATGTGATTCCCTTTTTGCATGCTACGTCATCAGTTCTCGAGATCCCCCGCTGCCAACGGCGGCTGACGAACTCGCTCGTGAATTTGTCTTGGTGGCTTAAGCAATCTTTTAATATAATTATATCGAAACACACCCCTGTCAAATATACCAGCCTTTGTTAGGCACTGTTTGACTGGTTGAATAAATTCAAAATGATGAACAAATCGACACTTTCAAACCGTGCACATGTTGCTCTATTTAACTGAACTGACCATCGCGTTTTGTCTAGAATGGGGATTTTGCTGAACCGTGAAGTGCGTCACGTCTTCCGAGAACGCTTTGTTGTTTTATCTGTTAACGTCACTAGCATCTTTCCGACTTTATAGCATATATATATATGCAACACAACAGATTATTTAAAATCATTTATTATTTTAAAAACAGCTTAATCGCCTATCGTTGGGTTAAATTTGACTACTGATATATTAATAACACCTCTGTAAGCAAAATGTCTACATTTGCCCATGCTTGTTACCAAGAAACTTTACTTAAACATAGGTAGACAGAGCACATTCTGTTCCCCATTGTAACGTCATCAATAGTAGGAGTCCAAACAGAGTTACCTTGATGGTTAAAGATGGCTTTGATAGCTTAAGAATTTTCTGCAGAGTCAATACTTGATTAGTTTCTTGAACCCTGGCTATAGCCGTCAGTTTTATCATACACATGTCCTTTAATTTAGATCTATAATCTTCAACTTGAACTTCTATTACTTGTTCCATACCTGGAAAATATATAACGTGTCACTTGACATTAAAGTGGAATTCTGATCGTCCGTAAAATTCACTTGAAACAAATATGTAAGACAGAACTATATTTTCCAGCTCCATCGGGTAAAAGTTGTGCCAATATCTAGTGTGTTGTATAATTTAATCAATTTGAATTTCAGTACTCACATTTTCCTCCTTGTACGGAATCTTGAAATTGTAGTTTTTTAACTTTATCGCCTTCTACACCAGTATAAAACATGGTCTTAATTGCTAGTCGGCCCCCTACGGTTCTATTTTCGCTACTTTTATTTTTCACTTGGAGAACAACATCGAAGTCCTGACCAACCGACACACCATCTTTTACTACTAGCTCACACTCAACATCCTAGAGAGACAAACAGAGTTAAAAGTCAGCTGATTACGAGACTAACACTTAAAAATAGGGACTAGGGTTTAACGTCTCTTGAACGTAATACGTTGGTCGTCTTGAGACTAATAAATCATAATCGTCAATTATATGGTTACGTGTCCAGGGAGGGGGGGGGGGGTATTCTGCCCGGACAGCGCCGTTTCCTATTATTTTTGTTCTATTTCCAACTGCTAAAGCTCCGCATATTTCCGTTTACACTAGGCCCTATTGATTACACGGCATCATCTTTGTTACATTGTATTGCTGTCAAACATAATATGGTTTGTATTCGCGAACATCAAGGCCATGATATTACATAACCTTCGAATTCTGTTTAATCTCCAATATAACTATCTATATACCATTTTAAGACCTCACAAACACTGCATTTATTCTAAATGACACTGGTAACAGACCTGATGAAATCAAAATCCCAAACAGATTCAAATTGAAACAGGTGCGGGTTGGGTAGCTCTGGGTCCCCGGACAAAATGGTTTCAATCGACCCTACCCACGGTGAAGAATACGTGAATTGACTAGACAATGGAACTAGTGTGAAACACCTTTTCTGCACTCCACTCATGGGTCATTTTTCTCCTTGGAATTGTATTTAAATTTTAAAGAAACTAATTATCAATTTTATTTTCAAATCCGCAGCCCCTGAATTGAAATTTTCCATTTTATTTACCCCTCCCCCCCCCCCCCCAAAAAAAAAATTGTATCAGGTATAAGGTATAAGGCCACAAACTGTAGAGCCCTTCTGCAAATAAAAGTAAAAGGTGGTCCCCATTACAATTGGATTGAAGATCAGTTGTGGTTAAAGGTTTATTTTAGGACTGTACTTGCTGGGGCTGTGCCGGGGGCTGTTTCGGATTTTGTGACAGGCTATATTAGAACACTTACTTTTGGTCCTACGTCATACATGCTTTCATACTGTTGGTCTCTTTGGTTTAACCTTCTATCGTCCCGTTTTCCAAGGGCGTTAAGTAAAGCTGCTCTTTCTTCTGGTGAATCTATATTCGTACGTCAATAACAAATATTATTATTTTTATTAATAAAAGAAGACTTTCTGTGTGATTCGATGATACATTTGGACTAAAATAATATTCATACTAATATATCTATCAAAAGTTTGCTTCAGACCCATCTAAAAACATTTGAATTGAACTGCTACGACATCAGCATTTATCAGTCTTTTATATCCAGTGAGTTATGAATTAATTGAGGGTGAATCCTTTTCCTGCTTGTGTTTGTCGTTAGTCGCTGTCTATTTACCATCAATATTGAAGTCGAAGTCAATGCCTTGGTTATCCTCTGCAGTTTAATCTCGATGTTCTCACAACCGTTAGATATTAGACTATCACATAAGCAGCCTTCCTGACGTTATTCTAGGAGACAGACTGACTTTTAGGGGTACCTTTACATTTTTGGGGTGCTTTTCAGGGAATACAGTATTTTTTGAGTAATACTGGGTGTCTGTCCTTTCCATATACACAAACTGCAATAGTTTTATTGGAAATAAATACTTTCGTGGGACTATTTCTTAAAAGGGACGATATTAATTACTGCCCATAATTGTTTTGCAAAACCATAGAATAGGGTCAAGATATCAAAATTGTAATTCTAAAATAAACATTTATATTTGCAGTGACTCACATATTGTGCCCAACTGACTCCCACTGTTAAAGACCCTGACACACAAACGATTTATTTAAATGAAAGCTGTCAAAATATTTAGTTTGTGTTGAGTGAACAAGACATATAACAACGACGATCTCAAATAATCTACGATTATTCGTAGGCGTTCACCAGCCATGGTCTTAGGCCAAGGAGGAAGTGCAGAAAGACAAATGTTTTATGTGGAGAATGCCATCGGACCGTACTATACTCACAGATTTTGTCATCGGCGATTACCCCCTCACTTTATAATCCTCATTTCTGTCCCTCGTATAAATCTGAAACATTGACGATCTGGTCTATGTTTTTTACAATATCTTTGATATCCACCGAGCTTAATATATTTTGAACTACAATGTCTAATGTCAGGTCTGTGTCACGTGATGACATTAGATTAATTGACCATTTGGTGTAATGTACCTGGACCAAAGAGATGGGTGTCAGATATATGTCAACCTGTGATGTTAATTAGACGGAAGATTCCTGCAACATATCGACTATCATAATCTTCATCTGTGAAAACATTTTTGATAGATATGATATTTAATCACCTTGGTGAATACCTATGAATTTAGGGTGAACAGATAACAGAGGTAAGACTTTGGTTACGTTGGAATATGTGGGGGATAGTTACCATTTACTTGTATGCTACTTCCAGTTTGTGTTTATCAAGATTTCCATGGTGAACCTCATACAATGCTTTTGGGCACGTCGTTACTGTGTTTGTCTTCGACCCAGCGAAAATTAGGGGAACTATTGAGTCGATCGAAGAGATGAGTCAACAGGGATGGTGATCTGTTGTATAAGACTACCACTGACATACATAAGGCAAAAGAGATCCACGTAATTTTACCCTGTCAACATCGGGTATCATTCTACTTTACCTTCCTGATATTTATAATGGCCATACGTTATTTCTTCTCTTTCGTCACCTACCGCAGATTTGGTACTTATTTCAAGGCCAACACTGAAATAAAAATAATAATGGGGTATATTACACTGCTACGCTGATACTGGATATCTTTGAACCCATGCCTTTTAGTCATGGGTAAATTTCTGCCATTCGTCATCAGTACTGTAAACTAATAGTTTATTAAATGGGTGATTACTTTCTATCATTTATAGCATGTTTTCATGATACAAGAATGGCTGCGCATTCACTTTCAGTGCAAATGACCCCGAATATCTCGAAAACGCCTCAACGGTGGACTGGTTACGGCATCGTATTCTACGCAAAATTTTACTATAGAAAAGTTGGGTCTGGGTTTTGTGGCTATTTGATGGACACCCACGCGCACTGTGCCTCCGGTCTATAATGTTTTGTATGTATTATACAGTGGTCATTAAAAAACCCCATGTGTGTAACTAGTTAGTGTAACAAGGTGACTAATTCTAATATATAATTTTAATTCTAATAATTATATTATTAGAGTGGTACAATTAATTATATGGAAAACAAGTTACGTGGATGTAACTAACTTGTTTGTCTGTTCGGGATTGGCACCAGACTAGGGCTGCGCAGGGGCTGAATTGGACTATACTACTTCTGAATCAGAGCTCTATCTGTTTCATATATTTGTGTCATGTTTTCCTATTCATTATCTTTTCTTAGCAGAGATAAACTATAATTATTCTACACACAGTATTAAGTTCCAACCGAGAGTTGAAGTTACTGTGAACCATGAAATGAGGGCCAGAGTATACAATTTGCATCACGTTCAAAATCACCAAACAATTGATAAAATGTTTTAAATAAGAGTAGTCCGTAATGCCAATCTCCTGGAAACACTGCATGCCATAGCATAATATTATATTATCATGGTTTGTTGAATTAGGACGTTGAAGTGACTAATTAGCAAATCCCTACCAGTTGTTTATGGTCTTTGTTCTAACAAAGGAACCATCACGTGGGTACCAATGTACAATATCAGCATTGACTTCAGCAAATACAAAATCTACATCGTACAATAGACCCAATTCGCCTTTTCTAACAGCGACAACAGAAGCTGGGCCACAACAGTATCCTTCATCTAAAAATAATATGTAAAGTATATTAAAACTATATAATTTAATTCACTGATAGCATCTAACTGAATTGAAAGGTTTATCGTTTATAGAAAGCTGATATGGACAAAGAATGGGCCGCAATTGATCACCTCCCTTTGATTAGTATTCACATGTCTTAGAATATCCGAGAAGTAGAATCAGCGCTATAATTTTACACAATAATTCTTCCTCCATAGCAAACGTTTAAGATTCTGGTACTTTCTAATATTTTGTAGATTTGATTTCTCATCTTTGTTTCTTTTCTTTTTGTTAAATTACATACCACCACTGATCTCCTGTGGTGTGGCATCCACAACCTGCCAGCCTCCATAACCTGGTGGTAAATCGGGTCTAGCCATCCAAACTTCATTCCATACATGAAAATTCCTAGAAAAGTATTAACATATCGATCATTTATAACTGTAAAGAGCCCAACATGTCAACATCATCTGATAAATATATTAAGGGGTGAGGCTACCCGAAAAATGCTTTCTGAAATTCTAAAGCTAGTGAATTAAAGATGGCACAAGTAGTTAGGAAATGTAATAAACAAGGGAAAACTAACATTAAAAAAAAGACAAAAAGTTGTTGCCAGGGTAACACATGTTTTTGGAAAAAGTATGAAAAACGTAGGTACACCATATCTCTGATAATAATAAAGATAAATGTCTCATTTTCGGACTGCTTATTCCTAAATGATAACCCTAAAACCAGACAGAGCGTTTTTCTCTATAATTTTTATAGTTTCTTGGAAAATGATGTTTAAAACATTTGTCTCACAACAATATTTTGCCTTTGGAGAAATATTTTGATAACTTTTGAAATATTAATGATAATTCAAACTGCTTTCTGTCTGATTCTGTGGTAGATATTAGTTTATATACCCTGCAAATTTGGCGAAGATATCTTAATTAGTTACAGAGATATAGCGTACCTACGTTTTTCATAATTTTTTCCCCAAAAATGGGTTACCCTGGCAACAACTTTTTTTTAATGTTAATTTCCCTTCTTTATTACATTTTCGAACTATTTGTACTATTTTCAATTCAACAGCTTTAACATTTCAGAAGAAAAATGTTCGGATAGCCTCCCCACTTAAAGGGGTCTACGTCAGGTCAAAGGAATACCTTATATAGACTCATATAGGCTCTGCTACGATTCTAGACACCAAAAATCAACACAAATGGTCATGCAAAAGGGGAGAACGGAAAAAGGATGTATTATATATAGATGAACTACATTTGTCTAGGGGATTACGTGGCTAAGTGGGTAAGGCGCTGGGTCGCTAGCCTTGAGGTCGGGTGTTCGATCCCTGCATTGGCCGAGAAAGTTCATCGGGATTTTCCGACGTGGTTCCCCCTTGTCAGTGATGCAGGACGGAGGGCCTGACAAGGACAGCTGTCTAGTCCTTCGGATGAGACGAAAAACCGAGGTCCCGTGTATACATTGGAATTCACGTAAAAGATCCCTTGGCAGTTGGAATTCGATATAAGAGTAGACGATAGTGCCGCTGCCCGGGCACAATTTCCCTCATAGCACACTGTATGGCGTATGCCCGTCTTCATTATCCCAGGTTAGGAGCAGAACAGTAGGACGTTAAACCCCATTTCATTTCATTTTCATTAGTCTATATGAAATCAAGGGAAATAACTGTTAATATTAGTCGTCTATCACAGAGCTTCAAGTTAATGGTTGAGAGTTGAAATAAATTACATATAGCGTATATAATGGATTTAATTACCAGACAGAATCCGAGTTGGTCTTTTCATCGACTTCGCCGTATGAATTAAAATGGATGTCGATGCAAACACTGCCATCTGTATCGTGAGCAGAACTAAAGTTGGTGACACTTCTGGCGGGAATGCCGAGAGCGCGACATACTGAAAGGTATTCAAGCATGACTTACAGAATATTAAAAACACTATCCATATTATAGGCTCTGAAAGTTGTTACTCTCGACTAAGGCTCACCTGAAATCAAATTGCCAGAGGCCCAGGGTTTTTTTTATTACGTATAAGCAGGTTGAATGTAAAGTCAATCACTTGTAAGACATTCTGAGCACAGAGACACAAAACAACAGGTATAATTTCCGCATGAAAGTATAAGTTGTTGCTAAGACACCAGAAAAGACCCAATATTGGGATTATACATATATAGCAGATATAATTATAGTTTTGTAAGATATTTGTTAAAACGGTTAATTGAAGTGGCGTGTATCTCCTGATGTTTTTGTTTCAAAACGATTCTACTTGTGATCATCCAGGCAGTGGGCCAGTTATATTTCAAAACAGATTCAATGTAAAGTTACCTGTTGTTAAGACACCAGAGAAGACCCAGCATTGTCCAAATTTAACAGGTTGTTTCTTGGTGTAAAATTCTTGTAGTATAGGTGCACTGCCAGTCCAGGTTAAAGGTGGTTTGCCACCTTTGTAATCTCCAGACCAGTTACCCTCTAATACCCCTCCTTCATCAGGCGCATTTACCTGTAATAATGGACAAACGAGATTCGTCTAAAGGCGTTACGTTGGTGCCACTATTACTTCTTCAGTCCAGATACGCCATTTCGTATTAGTTAGTTACTCATATTTCGATCAATCATTTAATTTACGTTGGGATCAGCTCCCTTAAACATACATTATGCAAGAGCTAAATCTATCTATTGCAGGTCTTTCTTTAGGCCTGAAATGTTACCTAAATTATTAATTTGACATTAATTAACCTATCCAGACCATAATCAACTCCAGATGACATCGCTAGCCTACGATCTTTAGTGGATTATGAGCTGATTTACTGAATAACTTTCCTTTACGATTTCACGATTAAGTGGACAATCGATCGAGACTATGCTGTTTATCGTACTGACTTTAGTAATGATGATCGAGGCTAGGCGGAAATTTCAATCGCTTAATTCTCGGTTCATAGTGGATCAATTTGAATGAAATTTCCAGCAAATTGCCTTTACATTATCTAGTTTTTAACTATTATAGTGAGAATTGCCAACTCGTTATCGAGAGATTAGATAAAGAGCTCGCAGTTCTCACTATAAGATTTAAAAACTAGATTATTTAAAGGCAATTTGCTATAAATGTCTGTTAAACTGATCCACTATGAACCGAGAACTAAGCGATTGAAATTTCGACCTAGCCTCAATCATCATTACTAACGTCAGTACAAACAAATAAAAAAAATAGTCTTGATTATCCATTTCATGATTTAATCATGAATGAAAGTTGAGCAGCAAATCGGAGCATAATCCAATACATTTCGCAGGCTAGCGTTGACATCGAGAGTTGATTATTTTCTAGATAGGTTAATTAACGTCTAATTAATAATTTAGATAACATTTCAGGCCTAAAGAAAGACCTGCAATAGACAGATTTAGCTCTTGTATGTTTAATATATTATTATCTAACTGAACTGAAGTACAAATATGCATGCATGAAATCGAGAACACCGATTAAATTATGAGGAACAAGTGGCTTTAATTTATACATTAAAGTTCCGTTTCCGACACGCGAATCCATCTGCTTAACAAAATGTAATTTGTACATGTAAGCCTCACTGATTTGCGGTGTGTAAGGCACTATCCAGGAGGTTCCTGCTTGATCCTGGTGTTGGTCAATATATCTCCTTGGGATTTTCTAGCTTGGTTTCCGCTTGTCATTGGTGCAGAACGGAGGGTCTGCCAAGGTGAAGTGGTTAGTTCAGATGGAAAGATAACGTGAGTTCCCCTATGTATGTGTAATTGACGGCACTTTAAAGATCCCCCTGGCAGTTGAAAATCATACAGCCTATGACAGGGCAGATCACTCATAGAACAATGCATACCGTGTGTCCATCTTTACTGACATTATCCCGGTTAGTTCATAAAGGTATAACGTTACTCCCCACCCCCGCCCCGCCCCCATTTGATTTCATTACAATTTATATATAACCCACGCCAATACAAAAACACCAACAGAGATTTGACATAATCTTACCAATGCAGTTAACTGTCTGATTATCTTGATTGAGTTTCCACGTGCCGGCCATTTTAATTGTGATCTATTTAACAGATACATGGCACAGTCCAATACTTGCTCTTCAAACTAAAATTATATTAAATATGTGGAACTGGATGAAAGTAGTTAAATAACCTAGAAACATTATTGTAGGTATCCTTATTTACACTAACCTGGGAGGGGGGGGGGTCAGAGATACCAATCTAAAATACAGGTCCATGTTAAATAGAAATTCTCTAATCTCTTATATAATAAAATTCAGTTGCTATCTTTGCCGAGAAGTTAAGTTATTGCGTTTCGAGCAGTCGTTCAATTATATTGCACTGAGCCAATTCGGAATATATACGCCGATAGTATTATTATCAACATTTGACAATATTTCAAGTATTTCCAAAATCCTGTCAATAAAAGTACAATTATTGGATTGCACACAATCAACCAATCAGACTGCTATAAGTCAATTAAATATTCACAGTGGCGAACGAAGTCGAGTCGGTGTGAAAATAAAGGTATATTCTTAAAAATCCATTTACTACAAGTAACATTACTGTTTTTCAAAGAACCAGCGGATCAGCCTGCAGAAAGCTAATAATAGGCTTATGCGGGGATGGCGTTGATGTTCGGACTTAGTCAGGTGACTGTAATAATGAATGCATAGTCCACGTTGTATCAAAGCCAATCAACTATAAGTAAAATCAAGGCAGACAAGCAAACAGTGAGGCTGATGTCCTTCGCCACAATTCCAAAATAAATAGATGACACATATTAATTAATTGCACTTTTATCTTGTTGAAAGATATCGAGCTGTCATACTGATTATCTATACTTAGTCTAAGCGGAAAAATGTTTACGGCCGAACTCAGTCGAGGTTTTGAAGTACCTGGTAGTGGAAGTATACACTAGGTTACATCACTCTCCATCAGTCTGAATCAAAGTAATCTTGTCCCAAATCATCGACCAATGAAATTGCTTAGCCCTGCTTAGCTTTAGGGGAATATGTTAATCATTGAACTCAATCTAGACATTCTACATCAAGTTTAAATATTCTACCTCAATTACATAGCCTAAGCAGAAAATTCTCATCTTCGAACTTAGTCAAGATATTGATATAATGAATCTACACTCTGAGATTAACCACTCTAATCCAATTAGAACCAAAGTTTTATGTTCTAAAGTTTCAACCAATCAAATTGCTTATCTCTCCTTCGCCTTGGTGGAAAATATGCGAGACGGACGAACCCATTTTTAATGGCCCCTTACTTTCTTCGAAAGGCAAGGGACAAAGAAATAGTCAGCAGTAGGCCGATAGCATTTAGGTTTGAACATAGTCGAGTGGTGGTGATAATGGGACTATATTAAGCGTCCTCGCTAACCGAATGGCTCTATTTTCAACTTACTTGTCCAAAGTTCCACGGTCTAGATTCGATATCTTCCTCCGTGCCAGCATAAATTTTCCCAGTATCTTTTAATACATATTCCTGTAACCCATCTTCTTTATAGACCATGTCATCTGTCAAAAAAATGATGACTCGAATCAAGGGTAAACCTATTGAAATTTTTTTACTGGGACAGGGAGTCTTGTGCATTCACGAATAGTACATAAATAAATATATATTTGATCAATGGAATATTTGGCATTTGTAATTGTCGTTGGTTATCGAAACAAACTTAACTAAATGTTATTGTAGCTTTTCTGCAAGTTCTCTATGCATACCCTTACACCAGGGGTGAAACAGAATATAAAAAGGTTATCTATAAGTACCTTAACACCAAGGGTTAAACATTATATAAAGGGGTTATCTATACGTACCCTTACACCAGGGGTTAAACAGAATACAAAGATTATCTACACGTATCTTAACACCAAGGGTTAACCATAGTATAAATGAGTTATCTATACGAATCATTACACCAGGGCTTAAACAGAATAAAAACGGGTTATCTATACGTCCCGTTGCACCAGGGGTTAAACGGGATATTAGTCTCGGTCACCCAGAACCTTCTAGTCTTCAACGTACGGAGGGTCTGGGACAGCTGCCAATATTTGACCAGGTTTTTTTTATGTGATTGATTATCCAGTATCTTTGGCCAAGTCAAGTACGAGTTGCGCCCCTTCCCGCAATAAATCCCATAATTCTTGCATTAGTATAAACAAACACGACTCGTGACGACGAATTAGGATTAATTTTTTAAAAAAAACCATAGATATGGCAAATGAAAGGAGAGAACCTTTACAATATTTTTTTTTAGGGGTGTTGGATATTGGACTGGCAATGCAATCAAATGGATTTTCTGAAATGCCTTTCTTAAATTAATTTCATGGGTGTCAACATCTTGTTTTCGGACTAGTTACCTCCCTTATACTTTGTTTATATAATGTAAAAGACCCAACAATCTAGCCAATGACCTATTATTCTCAAATGTTGACAAAGCTAATGCTGTATTCGTTACCGCTTGGAAATATCATGTTTCCCACTAGGAAATAGTAAATACCATACTTGTCGTGTTCGGGTACACAGGTGGTGAAAATCAACATGGCCCGCTGTCATTATCCATTCAAGGATTATTAATATCCCTATAATCACTATTTGTGAAATTTAAATCGCTAAAAGGAAATGAAATGAAATGAAATGGAGTTTAACGTCCTACTGTTCTGCTCCTAACCTGAACTAATGAAGACGGGCATACGCCATACAGTGTGCTATGAGGGAAATTTTGCCCGGACGGGGGGGGGGGGGGGGGTTGGATGGCTGAATGGTTAGCGTGCGCGCGCTGTATCATAAAGTCTGTCATTGTGTCGACTGGCGTGGTTTCGAATCCCCGGTTGTACGTGACAAGGAGTTGGGTCGCCTGTTCAACCTCGTGGGTTTTCTCCGGGTCCTCCGGTTTCCTCCAACTGCTAAAGACCCCTATGCGCAAGCGAATTATTGAAATAAAATTAAACCATATGTTAGTCCCGAAATGACCTAGTTGTGTTGAGTGGACGTTAAACCCCATTTCTCTCTCTCTCTTGCCCGGACAGCGACACTACGGCCTACTCTTCTATCGAATTCCAACTGCCAAGGGATCTTTTACGAGCACGCCAATGTGTACACGGGACCTCGGTTTTTCGTCCCATCCGAACGACTAGACAGCTTTCCTTGTCAGCCCCTCCGTCCTGTCGCTAAAAGGAATATCAGTCCAAAGAAGGCTCAGTTCTGTACAGTATTTACAAAGATATGATGAATTGAAAATTTGTCATCGTTCGGCAAACGATAAAAACAACACAGTGTAACCCTTAAATATTGGTCAATCTTTTGATGGATCTCTTTTAAATCCAATTAAATTCAAGCTAGAAAATATCTACATATTCCGTTGATGGTCTATTTTGGTTTAGTTTTCTTAATTAAATGTTAAATACTCAATCTAAGAACAATTTATCGTACATTAAACCGTGAAAAATTAGATAAAGTATATTGTCGATTTGCGGTACGATCAATTAGCTTAGCATATGCCTACTGGTAATATCTAATTAATTGTTACGGTATGTAGACATTTTAAATTCAAAGAATCGTAGAGCGTTAATCCCGAAAACACATAGTTTGTGCCGATTGGGCGTTAAACCACAGTTACTGAAACATTTTTGTTGATATAGTCCGTACGGTCCTAAAACCTGAACTGTCGTAGATCTACGGTACAATAACAAGTTAGTACAAAATGGAAAGCCGGGTATTTTTCTCGTTTTCTTTTTAATGTGTTTCTTGTCATTGTTCAAAAAATGTATCGCAATATGTAAAATTCTATAAATCACGCATTCAGATCGATATGCACATCCACAACAAACATATAACTACAAAAATAGTAATTTACCGTTCAAAACGGTCAACTTTGTAACTTTGGCTGCCATCTTGTTACGTCATATGTCGTGGACTCGATATAATTTTAGCTACCCCAGTTCTCCAGTAGAAATCACGACTTTCGAGCCAGTTTTTGTTGTTACGAACGCTATTTACCAATTCGTTAGTCGTATTTTCCATAAAACCGAGGAGTAACGAATACAGCAGAATATTTTTCTGGGTGATAGAGACTAACGGAATATAAACAGGTTCTCTATACGTACCCTTACACCAAGGGTTAAACAGAATATTAAAAGGTAACTATACGCACCTTTGCACCAGGGGTTAAACAAAATATAAACAGGTTCTCTATGACTATATCTATAAATAGTTGTCTTCCGGTCGGCTTTTTTCAGAACATCTACTTTCAATTTCCATTTAGCTATGTAACAGTTTGGTGGAGTGAAGATGGTCAGATAAAGTAAGTTTCCCTCCGGTTTTGTTATTTTTGCTCCCCATTCTTTTGGTAGGTCAACATCTGACAGAACAATCTCAACTTCAGTCCCTTTACTTGGTAACGGCTCGTCACCTGGAAACAGATCACAGAAATAAAGAATTAGATTTAATCTTAACCTTAACTTATAGTTTTGTATGAAACAACAAGATTGTTATACTATACAGAGATGAAGAATTAGATTTAGTCTTAACCTTAACTTATAGTTTTGTATGAAACAACATGATTGTTATACTATACAGAAATGAAGAATTGGATTTAGTCTTAACCTTAACTTTAATAACTTATAGTTTTGTATGAAACAACATGATTGTTATACTATACAGAGATGAAGAATTAGATTTATTCCTAACCTTAATTTATAGTTTTGTATGAAACAACATGATTGCTATACTATACAGAGATGAAGAATTAGATTTATTCCTTACCTTAACTTATAGTTTTGTATGAAACAACATGATTGTTATACTATACAGAATAATCGGCGTCGCCCATGACGATGCATTTGAAAAATGTTTTTATCATACAAAATAATTGCAATACTTTGGGCGCTACTAACAAAGGCAACACCCTTGTCGATGGGACCTCTTTTGTCCATAATTTTGTCAGTTTTTAATGAAAATATTTAAATTTTGGATATGATTGTAGAATGTGTACATCTATAACATATATTTCCTTGTCGGTCACTTTTTGAAATACTTTGGGTGCTATTGACAAAGAAAAGGCTCTTGTTGGTCCTTATCACGTCTTGTCGGTGATAAGTAGGGCCGAAATATATACTAAACAAAAAACGTTAGTACGATTTAAAAATCAGAGAGACACTTTAATCAAGTCATTCTAGAAAATGACTTACCAAATGGATCAAACAATTTTTTGTGAACAGTATGTTGACACATTATAGTGATTAATTCATAACAATTCCAAGACATTACGAGAAGGTTTAGAGCCTGTACACAGTCTATACATCAGCATCTGGTGTGTCCACCGCGAGTGTTAATAACAGCAGCGCAGCGTCTGTACATGAAGTGGACCAGACGATTGATGAACGCCATTGGCACCTGGAACCATAAATTTCATCCCAAAGTTGTTCAATCTGGTTTGTGTCCGGACTAAGGGCTGGCCAGTGCATAACGTTGACACCGTTCTGCTATAGAAAGTCCCGAGTAACTCTGGTGGTGTGGGCACGTGCGTTGTCATGCTGGAAAACGTTGTTTCGATGACGTGCGAAATGTGGTATGATGTGGGGTCAGAGGGCTTGATCGATGTAGCGCACTGCTGTGATGCCGCCTCCTCTTCCTGAACCAAGATTTTGGAACACCACGGGACCCACTCTCTGGTTCAGGTCGATTCCACCCCAAACCATTATGCTTGGACCTCCCCACGAGTCTCGTTCCATGACACATTGGTCAGAATACTGTTGGCCACGTCGACGTCATATTCTGGTCCCGCCCTCTGCAGTTGATACGCAATACCGATAATTATCTGTGAACAGAACAGTTCTCCATTGCCTGTGTCGCCAGTTCTGGTGTTGTTAGGCATACTGCAGACGTTCACGTCGATGGCGAAGGGTGAGGATCGGTCCGCGGTAAGGTCTACGGCAATGGATGTTCTCTCTGGTGAGACGTCGGCGCATTGTATCGGTACTGATGGGTCTTCCGTGTGTTCCCACTGTCTGATGTTGGTGGCCCGAAAACGTTGCTGAAGCCTGTAGATGATCCGAACATTGACCTGGAAGTGATTGGTCATAGCTTGGGCAGTGTGGCCAGCTTCGTGTGTTCCAGGCGCCTGGTTCCTCTGAGCTGTCGTGAGTCGTGGCATGCTGCTGACGCTGTATTGTGAATGATTCAATCAGGTATGTGGGTGCATTTTATAGGGCTGGTCTAGGTGAACAGCACGTGCAGCGTGAGTTACATGAAAATCATGGATAACACATTACCATCTCAGAAGTCAGGTTGCGTTTTTGAGAACATTTCCTGGGTTCAAATCTGTGTTTAGGAAGGAGCCTTATTGCTCAGGTAAAGTTGGAGATGTGGTCACAAATATACAATAAAAACATTTGGCAAGTTTTATGCAATGCGTCCATTCAGAGTAACATACCAACCTGACGTTTCTTTTGCTGCTTAGTAATAGTATGAAAGCATTCTTTTTTATAAATGCAACAATGTAATATATGTCGAGATAAAGAAATCACTCGTGGGCTTATTACATAACTTATGATAACAAAAACTAACCTGCTTGAAAGACAAGACGAAGATCATCTGTACTTTTATCATAAGGTCTGTTAAATGTTACAGTGATGTTAAAAGGTTGACCACGTCGTACAACCAGCTGGGGATTGGGTGTTTCATCTGATTGAGTTATATCAAACTCACTGGTATGATGATGGCGGCAGTTTTCAACTATATTAAACCCCACACTAGTTACTTTTAGCGTCAAGATCTCGTTATCTGTAAGTATATTAACAAATTTACATTTACATTACTTGTCGTAAAGCTCAAAATCAATATTGTATACCCACAGTCTTCAACATTACAAACACAATTTATTGGTCTGAATCTAACCGTGCAAATATCAGGGGCGATCCATGAATTTTTGTAGGAGGGGGTTTGCGAGCTTTCTGAGACAATGTATCTTTATGTATAATTATATTTTGTTGGTGGGGGGGGGGGCATTCCTGAGAAATACATGGTCTCTATCGTCATTTTGGTGTATATCTGGGATAACCAGAGGTCACTTTGACAAAACACAGAAACTAAGAAACTAGAAAACTAGAATAAAAAAAAAATAAAAAAATAAAATAAATAAATAAATACATGTACCAAATACGCTACGTTTTACTTTTACTGATATGCAATAAAATCAGTTCTGTACAATTTTAATAGGAAACTTTAAGGAAAGAAAATAGAAAAACCAAAACCGACCGTAACTGTGTCAAACACCAAAATATCCCAAAAATTCAGATTGTGTACAGATGAAGGCAAACAAAACGGAATGTACCAAACGTGCTAATGAAGACGGATATAATATTATGCCATGAGGGAAAATCTGCTAGGACAGCGACGTTGCCCTAAAATAATCTCCATCGAATTCAAAAGTGTTGTTTCACAATTTTACGCCCCCCCCCCTCGCCCCCTGGGCCCGCCCCTGAATATTTACTACACAATGATGAAGCAGCCCAAAATTTTAGTGCATAAGTGAAATGCCAGACCGTACCCTGACGCAGAGTTAACTAAACAGGAGCGAGTGACTGGCATGTCATTTAATGTGGACATCTCACCTATTTAGACGAAAATTACTGATTAGAAATTACAATAAAAATGTAAAACATAGATGTAAATTAGTTTATATACATTCATACTACATTAATGTGTGCATTTTGACCCATTTTAGGTTTCAAAAGTATAGAGATTTAGCTTCTTTAATTAACCACCAATACGTCCTTACAAACTCTTAAATTAATGTTAGCAATTCCTTACGAGAGCATATTCCTGATACTTGCGCTTTTGAGGGAGTGTGTCTATTCTTCCAGTTCAATCAAATCTATCCCCAAGTACAGCAACATGACAGCCCTTCTTTTAATCAGGGGCCTTCCCTAAAACTTTGGACAGTGATTTAAGGTATTAAAAACGGTGAAAGTGTTGTTCGTCTAAAAACAATATTGTTTACATTATATGTGTTGATAGCCTTGTTTGTTACACAATTAGTTTTTCTACAATATTCTGCTCTGCACTGGTTAATTGGGCATAATAAAATCGTTATGTAAACATATTTGGTCCAATTTGGAGCTCTGTTTGGTATTGTTACGCAGTTAGCTATTGGTTGTTAATCGGACTGTGGACCAGTCATAATTTAGAACAAGCATTTGCTTTCTTTACAGCAGTGAGTAGTAGGATTAGCTCTAATCAAACGCAACACTGCGAGGAGTATGTACGAGAGCAAGTGTCGTGAAGAATATGACCTAGTTTTAAAAACTTCCATAAAGAGCCATTGTCCCGTGCCACGATTACATTTTTCAGTGTAAAAATGGTAATTATAGAGATAACTCAACTTCCGGTCACTCAATGAATATCCCCAAGTGAAGAAGTGGACACTTCGTCATAAACCCTCAAACTGTCTCGTTATAAATGCTCCACCGTGCTAATGAAGACGGGCATAATATGCCATGCAGTAAGCCATAGGGGAGATTTTGCCAGACATTCCATCTGTCGAGGGTTCTTTTCCGTGTACACCGGACTCTTATTGTCGTCCCATCTGAACGTCTAGACGTCCTGTATACTACTATGCTACTTTCAGTTTTTGTACTCAAGGTTTCCACAGTGAACCTCATACATGCTTTTGAGTAATAACTTGCCAAATGTTGCTCCAACGGTGGTAGAAAGCGTTCAGCCCAACGAAAATTTGGGTAAAAATTAGAGCAAGTCAAAGGGAAGAGAAATAATATTTGGGTCAATCGGCAAATTAAAGGTGTTCTGAGGCCAAATGTTTTGATAGTTGAATTTAGTTTACTATGGATACATACGGCATGTAAAATATACAAGCATGACAAATTAGACATTATTATTTCAAGTTAGTCGTAAACGTAAGAATGTGTCTGAAACGGTCAAGTACCAGAAAAAAATAGTGATATTTTACACGCAAAACGTAAATTGAAAGAAAACAGAATATTTTACAATCCTGGGATACTGTGAGTTTTAGCTTCATACCGTGGCTAATATAATTGTTTTATAATATACTAGCAGGATACCCGGCTTCGCTCGGGGGTCATAACTCCGAAACCGGAAGTGGTAGACTAACGCCACCTGGCCTATTTTACTCCCCGGTCCGAGCTACCCCTATACCCCAAATTTCAGACTCGGGGCAGACCTAGTGTAGCCGCCAACCACGAACAGACCGGCTTCGCTCAGGGGTCATAACTCCGAAACCGGAAGTGGTAGACTAGCGCCACCTGGCCTATGTTACTCCCCGGTCCGAGCTACCCCTATACCCCAAATTTCAGACTCGGGGCAGACCTAGTGTAGCCGCCAACCCCGAACAGACCGGCTTCGCTCGGGGGTCATAACTCCGAAACCGGAAGTGGTAGACTAACGCCACCTGGCCTGTGTTACTCCCTGGCCCGAGCCACCCCTATACCCCAAATTTCAGACCCGGGGCAGATGTAGCCGCCAACCCCGAACAGACAGACTTCGCTCGGGGGTCATATCTCCGAAACAGGAAGTGGTAGACTAACGCCACCTGGCCTATGTTACTCCCCGGTCCGAGCTACCCCTATACTCCAAATTCCAGACACAGGGCAGACCTAGTGTAGCCGCCAACCCCGAACAGACCGGCTTCGCTCGGGGGTCATAACTCCGAAACCGAAAGTGGTAGACTAACGCCACCTGGCCTATGTTACTCCCCGGTTCGAGCTACCCCTATACCTCAAATTTCAGACTCGGGGCAGACCTAGTGTAGCCGCCAACCCCGAACAGACAGACAGACAGAAAGACAGACAGACAAACGACAGTCACAAATATATATATAGATGGGGGTTACGTGTGCTATGTATCATACGGTTTTTCATTGGGTCAACTGGCGTGGTTACGATTCCCCGGACAAGGATCGCCCGGCTAACCTCGTTGTTTTTCTCCGGGTCCTCGGGTTCCCTCAAACTGCTAAAGTGAAGGTTACGCCCCCTCCCCCACACACACACCTCGCTTTGTGTTGATATTAAAGTATGCATTTAATTGTGCATTTACCAAGGGTCTTTATCATTTCATGATTAGCATTTGAATATAGAAAATTCGAATCAAAGTTTTGTAAAGAACTCGATTCATTTACATATTTTGGGAAAGAAAAGTATGTATTCATATTCAACTGGGGTTTCTTTAAATGTGTCTTTTCTAAGCCAGATGACTAAGAAGATTAACATTATATAACATGTAGTGAATAGCTATTTCAGCCAGGAAATATGTTAACATTGTGCTTTCACTATTTATAGTATTTCAATACAGACTTACTGAAAAGAATAAAATAAAATGAAATAAAATGGAATTTAACACTCTACACCGAAAAGAATAATTCTAGTATAAGGAAACATGGGTGCAAAATTAATACCTGTACATGATCCGTATTTGTTATCTTCTAGTTGAAGAACAGTTTTAGACATTATGTAAGATTTAGATAAAGAGATAGCCATTCTTGCTATAATAATTCGAAAATAGATAATGTAAAATGAATAATTTGAAAATTTCATTCAAATTACTCAATTGCGAGCGAAGATATTAGACTTTGAAGGTTTGACAAGACGTGTGCAATAATTTCAACCAACGTACTGGTTGTTCGAAGCTAAGTCTCGCTCCTCCATTTGTAGCTTAAATCAAAATATCGCTGAACTGTTCTAATCTATTGAATATCGGAGAAATCCGATGCCACCGAGAGTTGATTATGGCCTAGATAAGTTAATTAATGTCTAATTAATAATTTAGAAAACATTTCAGGCCTAAAGAAAGACCTGCAATAGGCAGATTTAGCTCTTGCATAATGTATGTGTAGGACAGGCTTTGAAAAGTGACAGTGGTAAAACCCCGCCAATGTTTCAAAATACGCGATTGGATGAACGTTATATTTAATTAAACAAATCATTAGGAACATTCTGCACACATAGATCATTTACTTCATACTCCGAGAATAATTTTCCGGCGTGGTTTCCCCTTGTCAGTGATGCAGGATTGAGGGCCTGACAAGGACAGCTGTCTAGTCGTTCGGATGGGACGAAAAATTGAGGTCCCGTGTACACATTGGCGTGCACGTAAAAGATCCATTGGAAGTTGGAATTCGATATAAGAGTAGGCCGTAGCGCCCGTCTTCATTAGCCCGTCTTCATTAGCCTAGGTTAGGAGCAGAACAGTAGGACGTTAAATCCCATTTCATTTCATTTCGAGAATAAACCCAAGGTAAAGACGTATTATGAACTGTCATTCCATTAATAGTCATTTGAAAACTGTTTAGGGTTGTCCTGTCGGAGGATTAGTAAAATAAATTGATGAACCAGGGCCGTAACTAGCTCAGAGCACCGAGGGGGGTGGGAAGTGTTCTCAGGGATGCTGTAAAATTGACGGACAATGTATATCTATTGTTTATATGGTCGACAATTTGTTCACAGGACAGTGGGGGGGGGGGCGAAACTTTTGAACACCTACCCCCTTTAGTTACGGGCCTGTGATGAACCATATCCGCATTGGTCTGAATCGGTCAGATGACTGATTATGTATATAAAACATCGACAGATGACTAGTGCCTACATACCTATTATTTCTAGAATAGCATCTGCCGCTACTCGTTTTAGCATTTATGTTTTATGTTATGAATACAAATAATGTATTTTTTTTTATTCAACCATAGCCAACCCAGGGCATGGATTCGTACATTTGCGAACATGTAAATTCAATAGCGTTTTGTTTCATATAACGTGCACATAAATCATACGTGTGACAGCACGTGTTAAGGCAGTCATCTATGACAGAGATATTATACGAGACTCGTAATTCTCTGTGAAACAGATTGCCGCGATGGCTCAGTCAGTAAGACGTTGCCTCACTAACCAATAGAACAGGGATTCGAGAAAGTTCCTTGGGATTTTCCAGGGTGGAGTCCCCTTGTCAGTGGTGCACTGGCGTACACGTAAAAAAAACCTTGATTGTTGGAATTTGAAATAAGGGTAGGCCGTAGTCGCGCTGTCCGGGCAATTTTTTCTCATAGCACGCCCGTCTTCATTAGGCCATAATCGCAGCAGAATAGTATGACGTTAAAATCTATTTCATTCATGAAATCCGGGATTAATTTATCTGTAAAATAAGCTGTCTACTTACTGCTGTTATTAGCAGAGGACTCGGCGTCGTCTATCTCACCGAACGGTGTATTAACTCTGCGAAAAGCTCCAAATGGATCGTCGTCATACGATGGTGGACATCCATAGTGAACAAAACAGCTGTCATCATCGTCATCACTGTCTTGGTCTCTAGCCCTGGATGAGCAGTTCCATAACCCAAGAGGATAACCCGTGCGGAAAGCACGGGCAATATGATTAAATCTACCGTGACCCTGGTGAAAGGCTAAGGATCTGGGAGGCCTTGGCATGCTGAATTATTAACAGCAGATTCTACAAATAATAAATACACTGATAATTTTATATGGCGTCATTCATGCCACTAGAGTATTCTTAAAGACGTAAAAGAAATTGCTCTGTAATCTTATAGCCACTGAAAATCTTTTAGGGGACTTTGAATCTCTTGCAAACTACAATATTGTGCTGGTTGAATCGCAAAAGAAAGGTTCAATTCGGTTCAGCATTTACCAAGACACTAAAGAATTGAAAATTCGCTGTTCGATACAAAAGAGGGTGTTGAAAACGGCCGTGAACCAAAGCGGTCACACTCCACGACTGTTTCCTCTATAACCCTTTTATGCTAACCAGCGCCACCCACTGGACCATGTTTTAATCCGATTGAATACAGTCGATATATATTTTACTGAATTAAATGTTAAGATGCATTATTAGGGTGACCCACCATAAATAAATATCTCCATATATCTAGACAATTTCGCCACAATATTTATATATATGCCAAGCCTCAAATCAGTTTCACACAATTATAGTCACTAAATAAACGATCATGTTGTACTTAATAAGCTATGACCATTAATCATCTATAAATAATAGACTGAAAACTGGTTCCATGTGTCGTCCATAACATCCAGACACTTTTGAGTAAAAGATAGGTTACGTGCCCTTGTTTTGAAATTAGAGTCGCTTAACCAGTCTATCGACCATTCTAAGGCTGATTGACAGGTCGGGATAATCAAGACTACTTTTTTACGAAACATAACAGAAAGCTATAACAAGAAATTGAATTAAGAAATGAGCACGTTAGCTAGCTCAACAATTGTTTTAAGAAGCTTGTAAAAGTAAAATGAAACTACTGCTAGTATCATGTTCCTGTCTAACCCGAGTGTTTCAGAGATAGTATTTGTACTAAACCAAAAGATGCCGCTCTCAACGGTACAGTTAATGATAAAGCGATTTAAAAAATGAAACGAACGTAATTTCTAAATCTGCTGTAATAACCAAGAAGCTTAATTTTACTGCTATTCAAAATCGTCAACAATAAATTTTTTACGGCTGTAATAGTTGATAGATTTGTAGAGAATTGCACGTGCCATGGCTATTTATAGTATCATACTGTCAGAAAGTTGGCCTCGACACGGCGAATGTGAACGCTTCAGTGGTAGTCTCGAACTATCAGCGGTTGACTGTATTTCTGTAGGTGCATGGGCCACCCTAGCATTATGTAAGAGCTAATTCTGCCTATTGCAGATAAATTGTTATTAAGTCATTTATACACATGTCAAAAGCCCATAAGTAACACTCTGTGCCATCGGATGTCTTTAATTGAATGGATTAGAGAGAGAGAGAGAGAGAGAGAGAGAGAGAGAGAGAGAGGGGGCGTCCACTCGGGACTAACATATGGTTCAATTTTATTTCAATAATTCGCTTGCACGTAGGGGTATTTAGCAGTGGGAGGAAACCGGAGGACCCGAAACCATGCCACTTGACTTAATGACAGACCTTATGATGCAGCGCGCACGCGCTAGCCACTCCCACCCCCACACAAAGCAAAATGGGTTAGAACACCTTTGCCATTTAATAATCTAACGATAATATAGTTTATTCCTGAAAAACTCGGCTTGACCATGTAGTGTTACACAGAACTTCCTTTTTAAAATCATGGTGGGATATGACCATTTTGAAACATGAGTGATTGACTGATACGTCAGCAAGATATTCTAGCAAGAGACGGGTTAGATAATGGGTAGATAATGATTACCTAATGCAGATTAGGTTAAAAAAAACAATCTTACCTGCCTGAAATGTGGGTTATTTATTTTATCTCTCCAAGTAAACAACTCCGAATTGCTATTACGAGATCGAAGATCACGATGTTACCAACGTATTCCTATGTCATTCTCGTTCATTCAACAAATATAACTCGACCTAGAAAAATGTTTATTGTAACTGTAAGGCGGATGTTTATTAGGGCAAGGGGGTTGGGAGGCCGAACGGTCTAGCGCCTGTCATTGAGTCAAGTGACGTGGTTTCGACCCCAGTTTGTACGTGACAAGTAGTAGGTCCGCCTGTCCAACCTCGTGCTAAAGCAAATTGTTGAAATAAATATTAACCATGTGTTGGTGCCGAAATAACCTGGTTTGTGGAAGTTACTCCCTCCCCTTTCCCCTTTCTCCCCCACCCCTTCATGGGTGTGAATGAAAAAGGCGAGGGTTGCATGCTAGGTGTCATCTTCTCCTTTGATGTTTCGGTGCCATACTGCCAGCTTTTTTTAGGATTTATGTTGGCTTGGAACATGCTTAGTGTTAGAAGTTTTAAATCGCCCTAGATGAGTGGATCACAGAACTCCTTCGGGGTTTCTATTTATTAACTTGTACGTTAATTAGAAAGCAGTCCAATGTCAACAGTAATAGACATAGAATGGGGTTTAACGTCCGGGTTTCTTCACCAACCGGGTTAATTAAACATAATAGTGTGTCCTGTTTATTATTTTGTACCTCAATGGAGCTAAGTCTTTAAATCAATATTTTCCATAATATTCAAAATTAAAAACACGAATTAGAATTCAATATTGATTAATGTCAAACAATATTGATATTGTTATCTTGCCGCGAAACTATAGGATCCTAATATTTAAGACACAATTAACATTGTATAATCAATACACGAGTCGTGTACCCTATGGTTTCGGGTGTGATTTTGTAATGAACAAATAAAAACATAATAAAAAAATGGAATGTGGAAGTAATTAGTAAAGGCGGATTCACAAACCATAAAATAATAATTTTAAAAAAGTGTAGAATATACTAAGCATGCGTAAACGACTGCCGTTCAATTTCACCGAACATAATTGATTAGAAATTATAATATTTTATTTTTCAAAAATTGAATTTAAATTACTTTACATACATTCATATTACATTAATATGAGCTTTTAGAACCATTTTTTGTCTATTTCAAGGTTCCAAAAATAAAGCCATACACCCTTTAATACATTGATCAGCGTTGTATTATAGTGGTTATGTTAGGGATAAAGAAAAAAGGTCGTTGAGCTACGCTGTAGTCTTTAGCTAAGCATTAGTCCTATGCATGTGTGATATCACGTAGTCACCGTTTATTTTGTTTAGTTTGATATGCAAATGCATCATACTAAAATAGATCTCTTCATAGTATACAAAGCTTGTATTGCGTATTAAAGAAACATAATTTGATACAGGTACAATAAATAGCTGTCGTGATATTTGTCAATAGAATTTAATATAATAAATCTGTTTAAAAGGGGCGGTTCTTATCGGTGGTAGTGGTAGAATATATATGCCTCAATTTAGTATTAAAAGGGGATAAAAGGGGCAGTTCTCGTCGCTGGTAGTATATAACTGGGACTAATGTCTCGATTATATTTAGAAATAAGAGTTCTATCACAAAAAAAACAAAACGGCATGGGGGTTAAACATCTTACTTGCCGACCGGTTTCACAGGTGTAATGCGAAAGCCTTCATTTAACTCTGGAGAAGATGACTGGCCTTGAATGTCACGTGCATGGCAGGTCCATGGGTGATGTCCCATAGCGCGTGCATTGTTTACATCGGACGTAGTGTAACTCAAACTGGTCCGGGTAGAATGGTGTCCTCTACTCATTTTACGCCTTCCCGTACTATTTTATGTACCCATTTACATTAAACATGCATTATGCAAGAGCTAAATCTGATTATTGCAAGTCTTAATTTAGGCTTCAGATGTTATAGAAATTATAAATTAGATCTTTATTTAAACAACAAGACCAAAATCAACTCTGTATACCTACGGATGGCTCGGCTAGGAAATAGGATTTCACTAATTGATTAAATCAGATAAGGGGTAACCTGATGAAAATACGTCAGTTAGATCGAGGCTAAATGATAGAGTGTACTTAGCGTTTCCGTATGCCATTGAAAACTTTACTTGATAATCGAGATATGTAGGTGGAGTTAACGCCTGTCAATCAAACGTTCGGCAAAGGTGAAGACACATTTCGCTACCATTTCTAGGCAAATATTACAACGATGATAACTATGTTCAGAATAAAGTAATTTGACTGAATTTTTCAATATATTCTTCTTTCATCATCTACTTTGGAACTGTTATAGCAAGAATGGCCAACTCTCTATAAATATCTCCCATAATGTATCTTTAAATAGGTAATATTTTTTTTCAGTTACACTTCCAACATTTTCTTTTTAAATAATAAATCAAAACATTGTTTTAGAATTTAATTTGCAAGATATTGATAGCTAATTAACTCGCCCCGATGTCAGCCACCTCAGTAATTGTAGCGACGAAACGAATGTTCACTGCTGACCAGTTTGCTTACTTGTCTGCAGTAACTATGTGTAAAATGACTGACCTTTATAAAAATCACATACATTCTACGTGCGGAATCACATCACACGGCGCCCATCATTGGCATCGATAGTTCGTGCATTTACACAAGAGATAGTGACGAAAACTGGCCCGGACAGAATGGTGCCTTTTACTCAGTTTACGTCTTGGCGTACTATTTCATGTATATATTTACACTAAATAGGAGTTTAATTTTATCCAAATATACTTCACACATCATTATTTATTTTTCTAATACTTCAATATTCACTGCTGATCCGTTAAGTCCTGCAACACTGACAAGGGGAAACCCCGCGCCATTTACATAACGCCATTTACAGTCTCCGTGGCTCCCTTTAAGCCCGGGGGGGGGGGGGCGAATGGTTAGCACGCGCGCGCTGTATCATACGGTCTGTCATTGAGTCAACTGGCGGGGTTTCGATTCCCCGGTTGTACGTGACAAGGAGTAGGGTCGCCTGTCCAACCTCGTGGGTTTTCCGGGTCCTCCGGTTTCCTCCCACTGCTAAAGACCCCTACGCGCAAGCGAATTATTGAACCATATGTTAGTCCCAAATGACCTAGTTTGTGTCGAGTGGACGTTAAACCCCATTTCTCTCTCTCTCTCTCTCTCTCTCTCTCTCTCCCTTTAAGCCCTTCAGAATTTGGATAAGGATATGTGACAATGTGGAATGCAATAAATAGATACTTGTCAGTTTAACATTAAAGCACAAATGTTCGATTTGTTGTATCCATAATGTGCGATATTAGTTCAGCATTCACATAGCGATAGTTTATCTATTTTAATATAGTTTTTTTTGTACTATTATTTACGATGCCAAGTTGAATGGACGATAAAACATAATTATCACGGGATAAACAAATTTGACATTTTCAAGTCGTGGCGTTTCGCTCAGGCCCATGAAAATAAATCAAATGGTTATGAAATGTTTACACTTGAATTTTTTAATACAAATTCTAAACCGACAAATATTGCCCTACATTCCTCTATACAGGCTGAATTCGGTTACAACTGATCCGTGTTAATGTTTGAAGATGATCACTTTGTCCAAAAACAAACAAATCGGCAGTCACAAGTTGATCTAGCACGGAAACCATGATGAAAATTATGTTTGGTCTTCCATAGAAAATAAGCACGTCGTGTTGACACGTCTTAAAGTTTCTTCCGGTTTCCGCCCACTGCTCAAGACCCCTACGCGCAAGCGAATTATTCAAATAAAATTAAACCATATGTTAGTCCCGAAATGACCTGGTTTGTGTCGAGTGGACGTTAAACCCCATTTCTCTCTCTCTTTTTCTGCACCAACCGAGCAACTTGAGACAGGCATATACTGTGTGTTAGGGGGGTGGGGTGAGTTGACACACTGACACACTAAAGCTTACTCTTTTTTAGATTTCAAGCTGTAGTGGATCTATGATATCTTGACAATGAAAATGAAATGAAATGGGGTTTAACGTCCTACTGTTCTGCTCCTAAACTGGGCTAATGAAGACGGGCATACGCCATACAGTGTGCTATGAGGGAAATTTTGCCAGGGCAGCGCACTATGGCCTACTCTTATATCGAATTCCAACTGCCAAGGGATCTTTTACGTGCACGCCAATGTGTACACGGGACCTCTGGATGACAATGAACGCTGGATGATGGTAGCGTTCTGGGACGTGTAAAAACATTTTTTAAAGTAAAAGGGTGCTATATCATTAAAAAATGTGGGCGTAGAAAATGTGGGCGTATGCTGCGTTGCACCCACTCATTAATATATTATCTAGACTTTAACTATTCCGAATAACTTTCGAAAACAGTCATTGTCAAAGTCATCATAGTAGGCGACCTACGCTGTACACTAATTATAGTTACCTCCCCTTAGTCATTTATCTCACTCTAACTCCTGACGTATTTCGGTTTATCGGTCCTACAAGAAATCTAGACTTAACTTGTATTCAATTCGTGTTGTAATAATTAGTTGAAGGTGGGTAGGTGGTCATTTCGTTGGTTCATAATAACAGGGGTTGCCATGCAAGATACGCCCACATTTTGCAAGAGAAGGATAGAGAACAAAATATAATAAATGTGATTTTTCGTACAATCAGGGGCCATAATCCAGGAAGTTATGGTCTGATATGCTTGAATATCGAAAGGAACCGAGTCCCTTGGGATATAACCATATATCGGATAACAATTGTGACTTTAGAGGGTGCACAACCTTGGTATTACATACTTTTACACTATATGCGATCCAGCAGCGGCCATTTTGTCGGGCAGTTTCATTTTGATTTTTATTAAAATTCGAACTCAACCATCATCAGGGTGTAATGATGAAATATTAAAACCATTTTTAAAATCGGATAAAACTGGTGACCTCTAGAGGGTCCACAAGCTAAAATCTGATTTTTTCGAACAATCAGGGGCCATAGTCCAGGAAGTTACGGTTCGATCTGCGCCAATATCGAAAGGATATAAACATATGTTTTAAGTTTCATCAAAATTATGACCTCTAGAGGGTCCACTAATTGATGTTATATACTTTAACATTATTTGCGTACAGAAAGCGGCCAGTT